TGTGTGCGAGAGAGAGAGAGAGAGAGAGAGAGAGAGAGAGAGAGTAACGAAGTCGAGTAAATACAAGAGAGCCACTGTTTACTCAGTCATAATATACATAACGTGTCAGGGGTGCTGAATGTTCGCCAAACAGGTCGTAGTACATTTTTCACCTAGTTGCAAATATAGTTCAAAAACAATTGAAAGGACTAAGTTCGAGGAAAGTCAAGAGTTTTCATGTTTGTATCGTCAGCAGTTTGTAAGTACTTTTTAATAATTGAGCTGTTCTTAAGCATTGAGGTAAAACCGGTTTAAATCAGTTACGCCGAAGGATCCCGTTGCAGATCAGGTTCTCGTTAACATGACATATTTAGACTTAGCTATGCCCAATTTTGCTTAGGCTTACTCAGTGAATGCTTCGTTTCCCGGTTGCAGCAGTTAAGCGTTATGTTAGATGTTTAATCTTCACTTTGATCCCCATATGGTTCACAGGGTTATCTACCCTCCCTCCACAACCGAGTAAGGCAGTGTATATGACGGCATTAAGGGCGCCAAAACTCATCAAATATCACGTCCCAGAAGAATACACAGAAAGCAGTCGAACTGATACACAGTTCCGATGAACAAACAAGCGCCACACTCAACCCACAGACGATCGAAAGGGGTGAAAGGCAAACAGGCTTTTGGATACGGGACGCAGTTCACTCAACGGATAATTGGAACGGAAGACGTTTTTTCACAAAACTGAGTTTTTTTCAAAATGAACTTGAAAAGACAATAGAACACAGCACTAAGCAAACACAAAGCCGAGTTTCAGCCTGTTGGTTAAAATGCTATTTTCCACCACGAAAAGTCAGTCTGTCACTAACAGCAATATTATGAACGACCAAATCACCTCGGTAAAAACTGGTTAAGTGGCTAGCCACGATTATGAAAGCGATTGCTACCAAGCTGATGCGGCATAGTCCTAAAGGCAGCTTCGACTTTGATGAACTTACTGACACCTTAAACATATCAGGTCGGCACCTACAAAGCATGGATGTCACATCGCTTTTGACAAACGTTCCGCTTCTTGAAACAACTGATTATTTCCGTGATTACATATGCAAGCAAAGCAATATATATTTCACACTTTTCTGAGGACAGACAGGAAATTAAAATAACTCCTTCTGCAATCCACCGAAAATGTTCGTTGCAATTTTCAAAGGAAGCATTATGGTCAAATTGATGGTATTGTAACGGAGAGTCCACTAAGCCCCATTCTCGCTGATATCTTTGTGGTTGGCCTAGAGAACCGGGATGAAGCCATTAGAAATTCTCAGCTTTACAAAAGATACGTTGTCATTGGCAAGCGAAGAGGAGATGCGATTCGCCTGTTCCAGCGACTGATAAACGCTCGTCCGAATATCAAATCGTCCATTGTGCACGAGTCAGACAACAAATCTCATTTTTGAACTCGATGGCAATCACACTCCCAGATAGGGGTTTCAGATCTGTGGATCGATACTTACGCTTAACGAGTGTTGTACCTTTGAGTTACAAACGTGGACTGGTTGGAACAATATATGACTGAGCTAGAAAGCTTTGCAACATGGGCAACGGGTTTGTTGAAATATGCCAGCTCGATAAGGTGTTTGAGTGAAGTGGTTACCCAGAAGTGTTTATTAATAGACACAGACACGACCAATTAGCCACCGCTCCTAAATGTGATATCTTCCTGTACTTATCATTCAGATGTGACGACGTCAATGAGATCTTCGCAAGCCATCCCAAATCGAGAGTTAAACAGACCTGTAGCGCTGGTGAATTGGCCCCGCCCTACATGTGCTGAGGGACGACGGTCCTCGCCTCCCTCTTTCGTTCAAACAGTCAGTACAAAAAATACGAGAAAATATACGATGAAACGAATTAAACAAACTGGTATTCTTGTTCCTTCGTTCACTGTAATTGTTAGTTTCCATGTTTTCCGTTTTGTACCACAATCTCAAATATATACATATAACCAATTCAAAGCAAATCACATTTCCTGTTCTTCTTCACGTGTGGTTGCTCGGGCACCTACCTAGGGCGAACTGAACGACAATTTACAGAGAAAGTGAGTGAGTCCTACAGTGGATGGGCACAAGTCAAACAATGACAATCAACTTGTCAAAGGTCACCAGTCAGACAGTTCTCGTGCTCTTCCATCGTGCGTCACCTGCTTGAAACGAGGCAGCGTTTAGACGCAACAACTGCGTTGACCGTGATTCTCTCTCACGCCTACTGCGGTTTACCGAAACGATAGAGATACAACGATGCGAGCTCAATCTGAATAAACAGAAATACTGATTTAGCCGTGGTAGGACCATGAACTGAACCGGTAAATAGATTTGTGTTGCATTATATGCAGCAGAGGAGATAAAGTAAAATGTATTTAAATATAAATTGTGCAAAGTTACTGTGCTGTTATCTTTTCGAATAACTTGTAGCTGGTTAATAAATAACCTATCTAAATTATCCTCCCTTATATTAACAAGTATTACTTAGTTCAGGGGAACAACGAATTCAACCACATCGTGAATTTCAACCTTGTTAACTGTTAAACACTGCTACGGCATTAACGCGTCTATCAAATACAGTTTGCCACTTAAACAGGCTTCTGAACGATACTGTAATACTGTTTACTCTTAAATGTTAAAAACCAGGCTAGATCTTCGCATCAGATAAAAGCTCTCTTTCACTAAGGGAGCAGAAGGCAAGTATTGTCTACCAAATAATTGACGAAAAGAAAGTCCTCGTGAGCGATACTTTTGGGCAAAATCAAGTAAAAACTCAAGCACCTGAAAATTAGGCTCATCCTAGCGCATGTGATTATTGCATAAAAATAAAAATAGGAGATGCGCTTACTTNCGCTTACTTACCTACGTAAAATTCGGGAATAGAGAGATGTTTGCGTCGTAGCATCATTTCTCGGCGCTCTAAACGTTCCCTCAGTTTATCACGATATCGTGGATCCAGGTTGTGTGGTAACAGTTCTGGATACAAGCGACTTGTATGAGGCGAAAAAAAACAAATCACATACAAATAGGATAAACTGAACGTGAATAATGAAGAGCGACCACAGAAACAGAAGCAATAAAGTAAGTGTGCCAGACAGATATGCGTCTTCAAATATGGGTTGCAAAAACACTTATCGGAAAAAATGGCGGGGGGGAACGATAGTATTGCATTTTGTGCGGAAATGTGCGAAAAAATTGCACTATGAAGCGGAACAAACGCGACCAGATTGCCGACAGATATGAGACTTCTCATGAGCAGAGACCGAATGAAAACGATCCAGTTGCTAACTGACCACAGTTGTTCGAAACGCAAATAGGTATAATTTGAAACCCTTTTTGTAGTCCGACTCACTCTTTAGATAGCATAAGGCAGCGTCAAGGAAGAGTATGAAGTTTCGTGGCAGTTTACCACAAAAGACGAACCCAGTGTTACCTCATTATATACTTCAAGGTGCTAGTGTGTTAGTTAACGGTTGTCAGTGGCTCCCTAAGACTCAATTAACCATTCCATCGATGTGGATATAACCCACTGATCGTTATAACCCCCGAAGTTGGGCGAATTTGCTGTATAGCCGATGGATCAGTTAGGAGTGGCTGTGTATGCCGTAAATTACCTCGTCGAGAAGCTTAGATCTAGCTGGCTCTCAATTCGGTTTAGTTGGCCCATTCAGCAGTCTATCGGGGTTAACGATGCACAACAAACCCCTGAAATACGTTTCAAGGAACAAGACAGTCTATTGGCTACTCCCATTAGGTACTAGTTGTTATAATATATAAGCAAGTATTAGGAGTGACGGGGGGCTTAGCGACAAGATATAATGCTGTCAATTATATCAATCAGCTCACCATGTTTATGGTGTGCGAAGTAACACTCTAATGGGTGGACTACAGTTACAGAATCAGACGCTAGTGTAATTCTGTGTGCGGTTATCAATCCATTATCAAGGAACTAACCGTCCCAGTGACTTCGGATTAGTTGCAAGAGCTTAGATTCGATGTTGTCCATAAATTTGTCTGGCATGAACACGACATATTTTCTGCATCTGCTCACACTTGGACACCTATTACGTAAAAAATATCTCTTTCCTCTTCACATCCTTCCCGTGGATCCAGTATCGTGCAATGAGAACTATATGATGGACCAAGTCACCGATATCTTGTGATACGGCATATTTGTAAACTTACTGTAGTTCAGGTCAGACACCAAACCTGAGTGCCTCCTTCATAAGTACATCACATACATATTTAACAGTGATATATATATATATATATGTATGTATAAACAGTTCAGAACATCGAAGAGAGTTCAATCGCCGAGTTATATCTAATTCCTTCACTGATAAACCTGTTGATGTCTGTTCACCGTCCGCAACAAAGCTTTCATAGGGACTTGGTGATTCAGCTTAAGCACTTCTCCTCTGGAGGAATGAGGTAACAAGGGCTGAAAAAGGCTGTGGTTAAGTGATGAAGGTCATTTTTACACCGAACCGGAGGTCGTTTTAAAATGTCATAGTCAATCAGTTCCGTAATCTGTCCTTCATCAATTCCGATCGAATAATACAGACCTCTTAGGATAAAAAGATATGCTGTAGAAATCCTATCTGGGCACGCTTGTGGGGCAACAAAGTGATTATCAATCATCACATTGAAAATGCCGACTGATTCTTCTGATAACTTGATCTATATTGTATGCTGTTGCAACACGATCCATCAACAATGGAAAGCAGAACTCGAAAAATTATCTTGATAATTATGTTGAGACCAAATTGCAACCCATGCGACAGCTGCACAGGTTAAGTGAAATTATGCGCGCACACCTTTGACAGCTCTGCCTGAAACTAGGAATAATTAGAGGCAAAGTAGTGGCTTCGGCGCGAAATACGTAATCCTGTGTGTATTAAGCGTCTACCTCGTTCCAGCCCATTTCGCGAAGCAAATGGAATACTGTACCGGCTACCACCTTGGCTGAGACAAACTTGCACATCTATACGCACGTCAACGAAACGAGATAGAAAATTTGGAAGGACTGTTATTACGTGAGTTGTGGTCGAAACAGTTTCTGTCCCGTGTGATGAGGTAAGTTATTTATATTAATTCTGTCATCACTCCTAATTGAATTTTATTACATCAATACAGATCGGGTAAAATGAAAAAACACATTAAGCAAACGGTGAATGATGGAACCAAGTAATAGAATAATAATAATAATAATAGAACCAAGAATAAAAAACGCAAGAACGGTGTTATTTACGACAATATTATGAGTGACGGTGGTCAGGTGATGCAGGTCATCATTACATCGCCTCGGAGGTGGTCAGTTCGAATCCTAATCAGTTACCAAACTTTCCGATATTGTTATACCGAACGGGCTGAGTAAGTGCTCGACTTGAATAGATCACGTTAGCTGGAGCCGGAAACTCGGTCATAAGGGTCGCGTTATGTTCCCTGGATGGACATTTCAGGATACGTGTAATTTATGGCTAGCGACTCTGCGCGATACGACTGAGGGTCTTACAAAAAGGCACTCGTGAGTCTACTTGATTTCGTAGGAACCTTAGTCAAACTAAATTCTATATTTTCACATTTGCACTGCTTTCAACATGCTAACTTTCCCTCTATTCCTTTAACCAAACGGGTAACCAAAAGACAGCAACTAAAACCATAGCACGAAAGCGAATGATTATTAGCTGTCAGTTCCTGACAATTACTTATCAATTTGCCCGCGATTAATAATCAACGCCATTGTTGATCATTGCCGTCCAAGGTCAACGTTTTCCTGAAAAAATTAACCACGAAATTGGACACCACCCGCGCAAAAAGTTGCCACTTGGTTGGTTTCCATCTTTCTGTTAAGCTACTAAACCAATGTGCAACGCTTTGAAGGTGCAAAACTGCACAGAAAATATGAAAACGCACCAGGAAAAACTGGCAATTTATCTGGGTTTTCAGTAAACATCAAAGTATTATTCGCATATCCAGAAAGTTTGTCAGTTCCCCAAAAGGTTCAACATAACGCGTAAGGTCCTATAAACAAAAACATCGAACAGGAAGGCATAAGCAGAACGGGGGTGAAAAACCACTGGATGCATCAACTCTGTTGCAATAAAGTCTACTTCATGAAGCGTGGACCATTCATTCAACTCGGGCTGAAACGTAAATAGTTATCAGATCTACCATTTCTAAATGACTGGTCAGTGTCAGGAAAAGGTTGGAATGGAACGCTGATTAGGTTATTGCTTTTGTGTCCACCAATAACGTGTAAATCCGTAAGCCCATCGATTTGCAACGACCTGTAGTTACTAGCAATTTGCGCAAAAAGCTAAGAGCACTTTTGTCAACTCCGAACCCAATAGCAATTATCCGATTAAGAAAATAAAAACAATCCATTCCATAGAACACCGCCGGAAAGGATGGAGAGGAATTGGTCAAAGAAACGCTAGTGGCTAGGACAAGAGCACACTGTGACAGACAAATGGAGTCTTCTGAACAACCATATGCAAGATTCCGAGTCAACAGCGAAATACCACAGTTTGACAACAGCATCTCAACCCGTCATTCAGGACAATTAGATCAACACAGCGAGGTCCGAAAGAACAAAGCCAAGAGTTGTCAGCAGATGGCCAAAATTGAGCGGTAATGCTCAGTTAATTAGAATGTGGTCTTTGTCTAGGGCAATGTATGGAAACAGGATGATAAATACGGCTGTTTGATTTACACGACCAACTTCTTCGGTGATCCCCAATGAGTGTGTGCCTCACCGGCTTACATTCTCAGTACAACTCGACCTGCTAGATTTAGCTCACCTCTCACTGCTTAATTCTATAGTAGACAGTGAGAAGAGATAAAGAGTAGACGGATAATTCACATGCATCAGGGTTACTCAGATAATGAGTAGATGCACCGATCAAATACTACTTTGGCTCAACACGCAACTTGAAAACGCCGGAAGTAGTTTGTGACTCTGGAAGGCGGAAAGACGCGTACTAACGCTCAGAGGGGCATCACTATCTACCGTCATCTGAGCGGTTCGACGTAGACGCTGGTTAACAATGAATTACTGAAGCAAGAATTGTGCAAAAAACAACTTTGACCGATGATGCCAACGGTGCTCATAAGATGCTTACTTCATTTCAGCCTTCGGCACCGGGCGATTTAAGTCCCCAAACTTTTCACGGGCGGCAGGTATGAATCTGTTCCGATAAGTATCCAACGCAGCTGGATCAATTTTGGGCACATATTCTTTGAGGAATTCTGGTGGCATTCTTTTGAATGAACCCCCTCGATTTGGTTGTACTACAAACGGAATTTTGTTATGCGTAAAAAAATGCAGGTACCTGAACCGACCAAGGAGCATAAATAAGTGCTTCTGAGGCAACTTCTAGTCAGCATGAGATCGAATAGAGGCCTCAGAAAGGAAACTGAAAATGAATTTCAGAAAAAACGGTCAATGTGTGTTCACGAAGCTTAAGAATGTTTTTTGACAAACGAAATAGCATCCCATTCATTCACTTGAAACGCAATTTACCTGAGGAAATATGGGACATGTCGGAATAAATGTCAAATTAGGAGATAAATTTTAATAAGGAAAAAATGGAATGGATTACTCGGTTACCCAGACTATGATTACATGGCGCATAATGATAACTCATGCCACGGACAACATAGAGAACCAGTACCGAGAAACACAGGCTTGTTCAAAACAAACTCATCTAGTTGTTTTTTTTTGCTTCTGCTCCAATGTACTTATTTGCCTAAGAACTTATGAGTTAGTGGGAAAAACAAGATTGATGCTTTAAGAGATTACAACACTGCATTCACAGATTCGTTGGAAAGTGTTGGTGCTATGGTAACCTTTACCCGATAATTAGTATTCTCTTCAAAAACAATCTCGAATGTTTATATCAAGTAAAAGTAGAGTAAATCTGTTGGGCACTAATCACCCTTATGTGAACATTTGTGGGAAAGGATGGTTGGAAGGTTGGGCATACGGGCTATGCACCACACCCATCGAATTGGATTATGAAAAACCGTGACGTGTTCCACATGCAATTCATTTCTTCGAAGCCAATAAAGCCGTGGGCAATACTTTTGAGCACAGACAAATATGAACAATTGTGTGTCTGTATTTATGTATGTGTGACGGCTCAAGTGCGTCGAAAACACATGCACAAAATCATCGAATGTGTTGGTCGAGCGATACCTGTGATAGGCTTCAGTTTGGGAATAAGCCGCCTTGCACTTAAGCCGCTCAATATCAAGCATAAGGCATTTGGTGGAGCTTTGTGTGATTCATGACTTTAAGGGCTGTATAATAGGTCATCCATACCCCCCCACACACACACACACTTCAACAGAACGCAGCGAGTGACTAAACAGCTTACTGCTTTTATCGCATAATCAATAACATCGAATGAAAGAAACACACGTGAGCGACCGCGCAAATTGAATGAAGAACGAAACTCGCACAAAATATATGTTCTTTATTATTGAGTATTGTATCACAGTTAAGAGCGATTGAAAAGCACGTGTGTGTTTGTAATCAACTCTCCAATGGAGAGGACTGCACCTCGTTCACATTGTTGGCACTTGAATCACGATTGTTTATTGGTGACGAACTTCCCTGAATCCCGTTTGCATGGTCCGTCGAAACAACAGAGCGATGGAAACACGTGTGAAGTGTTGCGCAAATAAACTTTCTCAGACGCTGTATGGTAACGCCCCAATCCCCTGGAGTCATCTTTGTTTCAGCCTGATTGCTCAGTAACCGATTTAACAGACCATCCAATAGAATGGGTACAAGAAGTTGACCGAATGCTTCCGATAGAGAGGCTGCTTCTGCCCGCCAATTGACTGTTTGCTGATCAACTGAGGCCCGATAGACGGAAACGATATGCGACGCAGCTGACTGAAGTCCGGTGGTGATAACACATACCAATCTAGAAAGGTGCAACAAAAAGAAAAGGAGCCCAATAACTTGATGACATTGGATGAACATTCAGAAATGAATTTGAACGAAACGATTGAGTTTAAGACCCAAGTGTACAGTTGTTGTCATCGTTGTACGTAGTGGTGGTGATGGTGGCCGTGTAGACAGCTTCATTTTCGTCCGGTTCGATATTTTTGTCTCATTGGGTCGTATTTAGTTCGGGACGTCAAGCCCCAGGGATTAGGCTGACAGTTACCATAAATGAACGGCATATTTGTCACTATAGCGCTTTCCCGCATCGTTCTTCGCCGAACAATAGTAACAAAAAGACGCTCACAACACCTTTGGAAAGACAAAACAGTCAACAATGCGGTCACCACACACCTTTTACTGCACAATGACAGTTTGTATGAGATGCAAAATACATAAGAAGTTGAACACATGTCTTCCTCAGTTAAAAACTGGGGTCTCCAAAAAACATTAATGAGACCGGAGTATGCATATAAGACGAAAACAGTTTAGTTTATGGTTTAGCATACGTTGGCATTAACCGGTACGCACAGTTTCACATAAACTGAATAATAATGAGAAGGTAGTTAATCAATTACAAAAAGATTATGAGAAATAGAATGCGAACCACACAAACCCTTAACATGGTCGCGATTGATCAACCAAAATTATTTTCTAGTCCATGCTCAAGAGTTGACAACACGGAAGGCCCAATAAATTATGTGGACATCTTCGGCATAACAAGTATGAAAATTACTTGATCGACTGTGGTAACATGTCACTACTTCTCGTTGGATCCTTTTATAAATAGCCGTAAACGAAACTTGAATCCATTAGTACTTGGTATAAGCAAAAGATCTTTAACTGTCCTCGTCGAATGGTTGTGGCCGTGGTCAACGGCTCGATTGGGTATTGAGATGTATTGGGCACCTTGGACCATCTAGAGGGCATGTCCCGATGAACGGGACACCGCACTACAATGAATTGCGGTTTTCAAACGGCGCCCCGCTACATGGCAGGTTGGAATTTGGCTAATCGAAGGCTCCGGTTGTGAATTTCCTGAGAAAATTTACCTGCTTTGACCTTGGTAACAAGGAAATCATGGAACTTTCTTTTCTTTTTATAAGGATCATTGTACTATGATTTGTTTGGCGCACAGTCTAGACTCAGACGCGTATGAACTATACTATAATATATCCGTCGAATGACGGACGCTGTACATAAGATTACATCACAGGTGCATCGAAACTTCAGCTAACACATGAACATGGATAATGAAACCCAATGCCTCGATTACACGAACTTTATGGGGCGCTTCTTTTGGGGGTGGGGGTGGTGAGAGAGGGCAAAAAAATGTTTACAGGTTGTACGCACAATATGGAGAACAATGAACACAAGTTACCTAGATCTCAAGCCGAGCGGGCAGCACACACGAAGACCATTGTACAAAGCGGCAAAACGATTGTGCAGCAGTGCCAAAGGTGGGTAAAGCAGGAGTTGGTCAGGATCCGTGGCATTATCTAACCCATTCACTTTTGTCTCCAAAGAAGAGTCAGGCATTCTCCACATGAGGTGTTCGAGTGCAATCGTAAATTCGGTAACCACATTGTCCATATACGCCTATGTTAGATAAGGAGGAAGGGGTATAAACCGACTATGTATAATTCGATTAATATGCTGGGGGGAAAAATAAAACCAAACAATGTGGAAAACTTCATTGACAACACACCTACAAGCAGATTTTGCCAATACCCAATCATCTACTTTGCTAGTAAACTATAAACACAGAACTAGTTGCGAAAACTGAAAAGTCCTGTGATGAAACCATCTGATGGAGTCTGACTTCATAGGTAGAGAAGGTTCCACATATTTTTGCAAACATTAAAAATGCCTTTGACGGTCCGGTTTTTATTGCTGTCTTTCGGCAAACCACCGGACCAACGAATGCAGAAAAGGCAACGAAAACGGAAAGTGCCATTTGGAGAACGACAAAGAAAAAGGAGTTCCAATATTTTACTACTCGAACTACTCCAGTAGGTACATGCTATCTGCTAAACTAACTTTACGGTTTCGAAGTATGAAAATGTGAAGCGATGGAGCAATCGCACTGTAGTGACACTATAAGATCAAGGAACCTCTAACCCAGATACTTTGAGAAGCTAACGGTTACGAAGTCGACAAAATAGGACCTAGTACGGAACCGATACTTTTCAAACCACCTTACCTGTACAAAGGACAGAATGGCATTGTTAAACACGTCTACCAAATGGGGCCTGAAGTCACACCCGATACGCGTAAACGAACGTCCAAAATACATGGTTTGAGAGGAAAGTGACTGAAGTTGGGTGAATAGTGCCTCCAAATCCGTATCACTCGTGATTGAGGCAGAGCCGCCTCCACCACCACAAGAAGCAGCGGACATGGACCAACGATCTGTCACTTCTTGCGCATTCCAAGCAGGATGATGTAACATCTGGTTCAAATCCCGTGCGATCGAGTCCAAGAAAATTGTGATTCTGTAGATCAACCAAGCGTGGAATAGGGTATAACCCAACTTCTGGGGCTTATCTTCAAATCCATCAGAGTTAAACAAGAGTGAGGTAGGTGTCAACTGTCCTGATTTACCCATTTGCGATGAGGGAGTGCTGGTCCGCAAACCCCGTTGAATCAAAGCTTCCTCCTCGGTGAAAATAGTTCTGTGAAACCAAAGAGAGAAAAGGTCAAAACCAGATTCCATGCATACGAGAAACTGATAAACAGATTAGGTGTAAACGAAGCAATCAAAGTTCATAGATGACGTAAATCAGCCGTACGAATATTCTCAACTCCTTGAATTGCTGCTAATGAAAGATGTAAGATTTTGTGGAAACAGAAGGTCCGAGGGAAACAATAAAAGAAGAACCGTATTAACTACGGTTAATGTGAAAATAAATGCATTCTGAAAACAAAACTACTGTTAGTTCGGTATGACAATCATGAATTCAAAGCACAAACCAACCTATATTGTGTTGCAATATCGAATAATTGTACTCGCGTAATTTCAATCCGTCGCGTTGCTCTCCAATAAGCTTCATATGCAGTGCGATTAGCCAAGGGGCGAAAGCCACCCTTTAGGTCATTCGAGTCCTTGTGTCCACTTTCCCCCAGACGAGGTGCGTTGAGGCTAGTAATCAGTTGTGTTTCCAGGCAGGAGTTACGTGCCTGCAAGAATTTCAGTCGCAGTTCGGGCTCAGTGAATACACCGGTTCGTCGTAAGAAAACCACGACCTGGAATTAGATTCAAAGTTTTGTTACAAAGAACAAGACCAAGAAAACAAAATGGAATCTTTTCTTCAGTCAAAAATGCTTTGAAGGTTGAATTTCGGAAAGTATATTTTTCATATAGCATTGGATTATCACTCACGATTGAAAAGCCTTGGGAGGGCTGTTTCAACCCTGTTGGGAATCATCATCAGCATCGGTAGTCAGCATGTCCACCGAATCCACCGGGGGTTCAGTGGTGAATGAAAACTTGAATGTGCAAGACAAATGCATTTGCATAAACAGCAAATCTCCCAAACCAATGCACGTAAACAGTACACCATCTGATATGACTGAGGCAAAGATATCTGAGCACCGTCGGCTTCACCCAGTGTCGTGTAGAATTGGACTAGACTGAAAGAACCAAGGAGGCAGACAAGATACGACATGGTGCAGATGGTTGATGACACGGTACTTGCATCTGGTTCCTAGACCGGGGCTCTAAAAATCCAGATTGCTGGAAACACTAGTGGATACATCATTGAATCGAAATCAGTGGTGTGAATACATCCTTACATGCTTGCGATCCCAACACGAATTCGAAGTCGCGTCCAGTAAACAAAAACTATATTTTATTATTCTCCCTCAAAACTGATGTTTGTCCTGCTCTTTCGGCTCACGACTACTTTAGAGCCGTACTAGCGCCCTGTTGACAAACTGTGTCAGATAATCGATTACTGATGTCCAGTAGGTCGTATGTGCGCCATACCATGTGGTACTGAGATGCAGACGTCAGTTCAGATAACCCATGTAGCAAAGGCGTGCGCTTAACAAACTCTCGTGCCCGAGTTCGAATCCCAATGGGTTTGATGCATATTTGCTGTTGAAAAGGATAAAACATCTATCCTGGACTTTCAAGGCTGAGTGGAGACACTTGGACACGGGATAAAAAACACTTATAAAGAAACTGCCAGATCGTTTCGTCGAACAACGGAGTGCGGTGAAGTGTACTTCACTGATTGTTGCCCAGCTCACAAGTGAGAATGTGGAAAGGTGAACAGTGATGGAACTGATTTTGAGGGACGAAACAAGGTGAACCGCTTCAGTTAAACAAGCATAAATTGAGAGTAGTCATTCAAACCAGATTGTGAACGCTTTGACGTTAGGCGCTTCAGTAGACTGTTTGCATACATTTGTATAAAAAAGTAACTAACAAGTCGGCCAAATCAGATGTATCACAGTTCGTGTCGGACCGAAGAACATGAAACGGACAAACTCACCAGAATAAAAGAATAACTGCTATACCGTACATAAAGATTTTAAGAATTGTGTGCAACGTTGTTGCTGAGGTTCTATTCCAGGCGAAAACCTACCATATCCCCAGAGATCGCCGCTGGTTGTCCGCTATCATTCAGTCCATGAAGTAATCTTTACTAATACACCAGTGAGAGGTCGTTCCTTTATCAATATCACTGGCATGCGTTAGGCTTCAGGGCAAGAGGTTCAAACACAACCATTATCACCAAACTTTGGTGGTAGGCAGCGTCGATTTTGTTCAGTTTGATACCAGATCTAGTATATTCGAGGCTCTATGTGGTTCATCACTCCAAGTCACAGATCCTGGTTTGACGGTTATCATCAGTCAACAATAGGTCCTCCGGAATATTGGGTTCACCCCTTCTACTAAACATAAGGCAATGTTATGTACGGGGAAAGAACTTGTGATATTGAGGTGCAACATGGACAGTCACTCGGCAAGAACAACTATACAGTCTGCGATTTCCCCACTACGAAGCGGCATTCTTACAACCTCAGTTTATATGAATTCTCTAGCTTTTCCTTGAGTTTGCCCATTTCAATCTTCATTTTGCTCTTTTATCCAAATGGACGGCCAAAAGACAGCAACCAAAACCGGCGCAAGAAAGTGCATGGTTAATGGTTGCAAAATCTAAAACTAAAACTAAGCAGCATTGTCAATTTTTTAATCACAATAACTGGGTGATTAAAAACAAGCATTAATATCGCTCCAGAGGCTAATGCTTTCGTCTGAAAGAACGAGTTGAGGGGAAATTCCAGGCAAGCGCACGTACCTTGATACTGGCAGGAAGAGAGATTGGGGAACGGAGCTGATTGCAAAGATGATGAATGAGTTGAGAACCAACGGCTTCTACTTGTGATCCGATGACACGAAGAGCAGGCAATGCAGTGCCGTGTTTACTCGTCAGCTTTTTCGCAAAGGAAAGGATAGCAATAGCATCATCAAAGTGGCCATTGTGAACACAGGTCTCCATCAGTTGTGGCAATTCAAGTAACTCTAAAAGCTACATAATTTCGACAACCTTTATAGGACAACTCACTTGTGTATGTTTGTCTAATGCTTTACCATTTAATTTTAGAGCATCGCCAACTGTGTCTGCCTTGCTTAGAAAGGTTTTACAGTCCTCAACCAAGCCTGGCAATTTCGATACAAGTTGTTCATTGACTGAGACGATACCCGAGATATTTTGAAGTACTGTTTGACTGGCTTCCGCTTTAGCCAAGAACACCGGATAGTGTTCGGCCGCTAGTTCCTCAATTTGAGTATGTAGTCGTTTCTGAGCAAAACGCAGCTGGTTGAGGGAGGCGGACAAATCATCCAAACAGGTACCAGTAACTTCTCCAACAACGTCCACGAATACCGGGTCTGGAGCACGGGTAGAGGCTACGATGCCTTTCTCGATCATCAGATTCATTAATGGGTTGGAGTCAAAAGTATTAGATGCATCGGGAGGGCCTTTAACAGCATTTGCCATGGTAATTTTGATCGAAATGAGGGCTTCTAAAATGATATAGAAAAACCCATGGTATTCGTGTGATCAGACGGACGAAAAATTTGTATCGCAAAATGGCTTTACAAATTTAACACTCAACGTTACGGTCCTTCAGTCCCGGAAATAATTCAACTTGTTGCAACATCTAGATATTTTCTTCTCCCAAAATATCAACCTTAAAACTCAAGTTTTCATTTTCCCATAAAATCTGAAGGCAAGAAAATATCAGCAATCGCATTAGAAGCAACCCAAATACCATTATGCTTATTGTTAGATGGCATCTATCTAATAATGCAAAGACCGCGCAACCGGATGAGAACGGTAGGACAATACAGGCCTCTTGTAGGACGAGGTCTGAGCAGAAATCCTCCAATTCCGCTCATTCAACTTGGGTTCACTCACATTTGGTGATACACTAGATTTCGCCTGATATTGCGCGGGAGAACAGCTTGTCTGATCCACATATAGGAAAATAGAAAGTAGGCGAACGTGTTTTCGGTGAGTTTTTTCTCAAGCTATTACAATTACATTTATGCAAGAAAGCAATGACTGGGTGATTTGTTGGGGTCAAACATATCAAAGTTGAATGTAAGATGAAGAGTTAAGTTCTTACAACCATTAACCCTATACTGGTGCGCAATTGGGTAGGCTACTCATTGAGTTGACAAACGAAGAATGCGTAATTTGAATAGATGAAAGCTATAAGCACGACCAAAACAAAGAAAGGAATTCAAATACAACTGTGTGAAAACCGGGTGGATGAACTGTTTTAGATATAGTTGTCACTCAGAGTCTGAATATTCACTCGATTGGTTGCCCGGTCCCCCACCAGAAATTCCTGAGAACTATATGACAGAGAGCCGTAGTTAGGGTTTTCCTATTCTCATGCCAGGTCTTTGTTATAAAGATTATTTACCGGGATTTGTTGGCAGACGATCTGGAGTTAGAGGCGTGTGAAACACGTGCATGCCACATCTCGATAAAACCACCTTTAGTCTTCGTTCACTCACTACCTAACTCGGTAAGGATTTCACACAAACTGAGTTACACGCTCAACATTTGTTCCAGATGCAGTAATCTGATGTCCAACATTTGCTTCAATGTACAATCATTATGATCCAGTACTTGGCACCTAACCTCAGCATTCCTTTTTCGGTTACCCCAAAAGAATCGTGCAGCGGGTTGAAGACGGCAAAGTTGGAACACTGATGGTTTGTCTATACCCTATATCCGTAAAGGTTAAGTCTTTGCACGATGCGGCAGAACTGCTTGAACTGTTCCATCGCACACCCCATCCTTCATGGACAACCAGATATCGGAGTGCCAATGAAAGTATCCTAAGTTGGCAATTGTCAACTAAGCCTTTTGTATATGTGCCGGCACTTCATCCAAGATTCATCTGCTAAAGATGATTTAGCTGTCCAAATGGAAAAATCTGTCTACTCCCTATAGACTGTCTTTTGAGAAAGAAAGCTAGCCCCAGATCAAATCATATCATCCAGAACAGTAGTAGCACTGCTATCCTCACACGAGAAGGCCGTTTCCAGAAATTCCTCTTTGACTCAACGAGCTAAACAGGATGGCTTTTGTCAAGCCAGGACATCTTATCATGCCTGGAAGGTCAATGGGTAGAGGTCAGATGAAGTTCAATCTTCTGGTCCTCCAGATTGGGGGTTCGACTTGAGCTGGCGTCACAGTCTGTAAAACGTGTTGGAGGAGTTATTGATCCAAGTTAATGGGCCTCCACTTCGCTTTGCCCGCTACCTTGCGGTTAGGTTCTTGTTAGAACTGAAGGCTTTGGACGAGAACCCTAATCGTTCTCCTGCTTA